TGCTGGTTCAATCCCTGGTCAGGGAACTAAGATTCCACATGCCTCGCAGCCAAAAAGCCAAAACATAAAACAGAAGCAATATTGTAACAAATTCAATAAAGACTTAAAAAAATACATTAAAAAAGGGTTAGGTGTATTAAATTCATTTTGACTTAGGATCTTTTCAACTTAGGATAGGTTTACTGGGACGTAACCCCATCATAAGATCTCTAGTTGAACTGAATTGAGTAGCTGCAACAGATTATATGCACCCCCAACCTCTTCTTCTTACAGTCATTGACTTGAACCAGTTGCCCTGTAGAAAGTTCTCTATTCTGATTAGTCTGATTGCTTCCTAGTAGTGTAGGTAGCTTGTTTCACTTCTTTATTCCTGTAAATCAGAAGTCAGATCTAAGTGCTTTATTAAAGTAGTTTCAATTTTTTTTTATCAAGAAAATTCACAAGTTGTTCTGGGTACTTTGTATTGCATCACATCAGGAAGTTGTCATACACAATGAGTTCTACCTAACAGATGTACAGCAAATGTCAGGAACGAGGTACATGGAACAAGAAAGTCAAAGGCCAGATAAGATAGGGACGTTAAGACACAATATAAGGTAGAATCAGATGGTGTGCTCCACAGGTCCATGAAAATAGTCAAGTAATAGCATTCAGGATATAGAGTGTTGACTGAAAGAAAAATGCACAATGTAAGAGCTGTGAGTTGAGTTTTATTGTGTCCTACTGAGGACTAGGAGATAGCCTCTCAGAGAGCTCTGAGGAACTGCTCCGAAGAGGTAGGGGGACAGGCCAATTATATATGTGACTTTGGCTAATAAGTATGTGCAATCCAGTATACATCTCAGTAGAAGGTTACTGCTAGTCAAGAGGAACAGATACACCAGTTAAGGATTTTAGTGCTTTTCTAAGTATGGGAGGATGCAAGAAACCAGAATCACAAAATTTCCTGAAATATATCTAACTAAGGGCCTGTTTTGCCTGTTCTCCTAAAGCACAGAGTGCCTCCTCTGTTCTGAATTCCTTTCAGGGTATACTGTAGGTCAGGTATGGCAGTGGCTAATGACTTGATCCTTGTAGAACTGGAGGGTGGACAACATCCTTTGTTTTACAAGACGAAAATCACGAGACTTGCATGGGATGAGTAATCAAATGATGTGATGACAGAAGGGTGATTGAAACTGAGCAGCAGGAAGATAAGATAGGATTTGGTTTGCTGCCTCAGCTTCAGCTACTTTTATCATCTTCATCCTAGAAAGAACTAATCAAGAAGGGGCCTGGATGAGAATTCTGTGGAGTATGAATGCCAACACTTACAAATAAATCCACAAGTAGAGAAAAGTCAGAGCATTTTCCTGGCAGTCTTCCCAAACAAAATTCATACCAATATGACCAGTAATTTGTATTGCATTTGACGTTTTCTGAATTTATCATCAGGTATCCCCAGGAAACTTCTTGGTATTACAGGACTTGGAAAGTTTATCTTTTAATAAAATCTCTAGACATATATACACTAATATGTATAAAATAGATAACTAATAAGAACCTGCTGTATAAAAAAATAAAATTAAAAAAAAAATCTCAGGCTTCCCTGGTGGCGCAGTGGTTAAGAATCCACCTGTGGGCTTCCCTGGTGGTGCAGTGGTTGAGAGTCCGCCTACTGATGCAGGGGACATGGGTTCGTGTCCCGGTCTGGGAAGATCCCACATGCCGCGGAGCGGCTGGGCCCGTGAGCCATGGCCGCTGAGCCTGCGCGTCCGGAGCCTGTGCTCCGCAACAGGAGAGGCCACAACAGTGAGTAGGCCCACGTACCGCAAAAAAAAAAAATCATGGGAATTCTTTGCCCATTTTCTTCATCTCTTAAGTATAATCATAAAGGAAAATGACAAATATTTATTTTATTTAGAAAAGTAGCCAATAAATTCTCTCTTAAATGACCAGAATGAGAATCTAATATTGTAGATTTTCACATAGAAACTTGCTGTTTCTCTGAATGTAAATGAAAAGTCTGTGTACTAGGCATCTAAGCTGCTGTTGCTTTTGAGCTTTTCCCCACCAGCTTTATTGAGGTCATTGACAAAATTGTAAAATATTTAAAGTTTTCAGTGTGTTGATTTGATATATGTATACATTGTGAAAGGATTCCCACAATCCAGTTAACACATCCATCACCTCACATATTTACCTTTTCTTTCTTTTTTTTTGGTGAGAACATTTAAGTTCTACTCTCAGTAAATTTCAGTTGTACAATACAATGTCATCAAGTATAGTCACCGTTTTTGAACTTTAAAAACACATTAGTTTATCTGGTTTCGGCAATGGTGACTTTAAAAAAATTTTTTTAATACACTTTTATTATTATTATTTTTATTTTGTGTGCGGTACGCGGGCCTCTCACTGTTGTCCCTCTCCCGTTGCGGAGCACAGGCTCCGGACGCGCAGGCTCAGCAGCCATGGCTCACGGGCCCAGCCGCTCCACAGCATGTGGGATCTTCCCTGACCGGGGCACAAACCCGTGTCCCTTGCATCGGCAGGCGGACTCTCAACCACTGCACCACCAGGGAAGACCCACTTTATTTTTTAAAGCAGTTTTAGGTTCACAGCAAAATGGTGCAGAAAATCCAGAGTTCCCGTATACCTACTTCCCGCACACAGGCACAACTTCACCCCGCTGTCACCATTCCCCGACTAGAGCGGTACATTTGTTACAACTGAACCCTAACATTAACATGTGATTATCACCCAAGGGTTGTATATTTTATGAGTTTTGAAAAATGTATAATGACATGTACCCACCATTATAGTATCATACAGAATAGTTTCACCGTCCTAAAAATCCCCTGTGCTCTGCCTATTTGTCCCTCCCTCTCCCCAACCCCTGGCAACCACTGATATTTTAAGTGTCTCCATAGTTTTGCCTTTTCCAGAGTGTCATATATTTGGAGTCATTCAGTATGTAGTTTTTTCGAGTACCATCTTTTACTCCCACTGTCGATGAAAATTCAATTAACTATTGAGTTGATATTCAATTAACTATCAAGATAAGCGTGGGGGGGGAGGAATTTTATTCAAGCCAAACAGGATTATAATCCAGGTGGCCGATTCTCAGAAAGCTCTGAGAACTTTTCCGCCTGTTATAAGTCTAAGGCACAGTCATATATTTTTGAGACAAAGGATTGTACATCAAAATGACAAACCGATATTTTACATAAAGTTCACCAAGCATACATAAACCATGTGAGCAGCAAGTCACCGTGACCCCCTACAGATCTGGGAAAGAAGGCTATTGTTTTAAGAAGTTACATTGCTAGAGTCAGAAGAAAGAAAAAAACAAAAAGATCTTTGCGGTTGAGCAAGTGCTCCCATGTTTGATGAGCTCTGGTTAACGTGTAATGCAGATGCACGTGCACATTAGGGAGGGAGGAGGCCCAAAGGGACACACAGAGAATTTTATGTTTAATCTTTCTTGTCCTGTCTTAAAATACAAGTTTCATTTCATCACTACCAACGATATACATTAGTGCCTCTTTCCCTACAGCCTCCCCAAATCATATTCTCCAAATTCTGTCTGTTGGCCAATTTGACGGATTGAAAATACCATTTCAGTGTAGTTTAAATTTTTCTTAGAATAAGGGAGGTTGAATGTCTTTTAACGTTTTTAAGGGCAATTTGTGTTTCTTTTCTGTAATTTACCGGTTCATGTGCTTTGCCCATTTAACCACTTTATCAATCTGATTTTAGAATATGTGCTGCTAAAACAAGCTTTGAAAGCTTTAAAAAAAAAAAGATTCCTGGTGTCCTCCACACACATACTGAATCAGAAGGGCCCATATTTAGGCTCAATAACCCTCTAGATTTAGAAACCATTGACCTAGATCATCAAAACAAATTTGTCACTCTAAATATTTACAATAGTGTAAGGCTGCATTACCTACAAAGTTAAATGGCTGCAACATGTTGTGTATTAAAATTTTTTAACATTGTAAACATTAATATTTACCATAGAATTTAATATAACGTGGTGGAATGACATGGATGGCTCATGTTTCAAAAAGAAAAACTTGAACTTCTGAGTTTTCTCAGACTCCAAGTAGGCAGTAGTTTAATATCAGGACTAATGGTAGAGAAAGGAATCAGAATACCAAATCGAGAAATGTTAATAAGCAACGGGAATTAATACAACATTGTAAAACAACTACAATAAAAAAAAAATAATAAGCAACGGAGTATGAGGTGGCCTTGTGTAGACCCGGAACTGACCACTCTTTCTGAGCTTGCTTCTTACTCCTAAACTTTAACGAGATTGTTCGTTTTAGGAAGCCACAAGAATTTATATTACTTATTTGGTTTCAGATTAAATTTTGGACTACACTGAAACTGGAAACTGCCTATCTGGAGAAGAAATGGTCCCAGATCACTCATAGGCCGGTGAACAAAATAAATACAATACCACAAACCTTCGTCTGCAAAACGAAGCAATGGGAAACATCTGGGTCAGTTCCCAGGCAGGAAGAGAGGAGGAGCGGTGTCAGGCACAAGTGGGTGGGGCTAGCTCCGCAGTGGAGGAGGGTCTCTCCCGAGCGCCCGCTCCTCCTCCGTGACGTCACAAGTAGAGCCCGCTCCCAGCCGCCCAGGACTCCTGTTATAGCCGCTGCTCGCCAGGGCTCCGGAAGCTGCCCCTCTCGGGGGTCATGATGGGCAGCAAGATGGCGTCTGCCAGCAGAGTCGTTCAGGTAAGGAGACTCGGTTGCCTTTCCGCGCCGTAGGCAGTAGGGATGGTGCTGACTGTAGCACCGGCGCTGGGGAGGAAAGGCGGTGGTGGAGACTGCGCGGTGACCACGGCCCTGCATAGGGCCAGCAGCGGCTTCCCGGGGTGTATGTGAGAATTGGACCTTGAGCTCGTTGGGTCGGGCAGTGAGCCGGGGACCGCAGCTGAGGGTTCGAGCCAGGCCGCGGGAGTGCATCTCAGCAGGTAGGCAGATAGCTGTTCCGAAGTCCCTGGACTGCCCTCCACCGGGACCTCGTTAGCCTGTTAGGAGTCTGCAGTTTGGCTGTCCTGGCAATATCCTGGCCAATCAGCGACCAGTATTGTCTGTGTTGTCGCGGATCAGCCAATCGGAAGGAAGGCGGTAGCGGTGAGTGAAAGGAAGCGAACCCTGCTTCTGACCTGGTGTCCCTTCAAGGTCTTGGGAATGGCCAGAGAACTGGCCCCGCGGGCTGCATCTTCGCCGGAGGCGGGTTCTCCCCCACCAACCAGCGTCTGGTTACAGGCTGGATGGGGGAGAATGGAAAAAATACATATTTAAGTTTATGTGTAATATATGTCTTAGTGTTGGTTTCCTAAGCTTTTTTCCCCTGAATTTAGATTGGCGCTAGAGGAACTTTATTGTTAATCCACACATCAGTTACTAACTCCTGACAGCTTTTGTTTTTGCTTCTCCAGCTGTGACCTCTAGCTTAAATAGGAGAGGTAAAATTGGTATATAATGGGCGACAATCTCCACTTTTGTGGTTGCTTTACACGAGTTTTTTTCAACTCTTAAAGTATATTATTGTACAATTACCTTTTAACTTTGATACGAGAAGTGCATTTCCCTTTGCACATCTCTTAAAAGACCTTTTCTTAAAGTTATTTCGCTCTGAAAGAGAATCCTAGATCCCAGTCTTTGCTCCCATTGCAATGAATGATCCTCACTTATTCATTCAGCGGGTAGTTATTGAGCGTTAAAGGTGCTGTGAGGACAGGAGAACATCCGACAAAGGACTGGTATCCATAATAGATAATTATATATATCCATAATATATAGCCCAGTTTTTAAAATGGGTAAGAAAAACTTGATATTGCACAAAGCAAGATATTCAAATGAGCACTAAGCCAGTGAAAAGATACTCAACATCATTATTTGCCAGGAAAATGCAAATTAAAACCAGGAAGTACTACCACACCCACCAAAATTATTAAAAAGACTGACAATACCAAGTGGTGATGAGAACATGAAGCACCTGAAACTCATACAATGCTAGTGGGAATATAAAATGGTACAGTCACTTTGAAAAACTTTTGTGGGCCTCTAATACTAGTTAAACATACCTACCCTATGTCCAAGCAGTTTTTCTCATAGGTTTATATCCCAGAGAAATGAGTGCATATACCTATTTAAAAAACTATATAAAAATGTTCATAGTTGCTTTATTAATAATAACCCCTAAACCAGAAATTATCCAAATGTCCATTAGCAAGATAAGGTGTGGTAGATTTGTTAAAATGGAACAGTACACAGCAATAATAAAGAACTTACTATTGATATATGCAACAACAATAAAAAAGATGCTGTGAGATATACAGTAAGAAATGGTCTGTCTCCTTTTAACAAAGCTGCAAAGACTTGTATTCAGGTTCATAATACAAAGCAGTATGTGCTGACATTATGTAATAATTACATGTTAACATTAGCAAAATGTATTGAGTACTTCTGTGTCAGGCCTATACTCAGTGCTGAGACTGCAGTGCCAACAAGACAGTACATGGTGCCTCCACAGAGCTTAGAACTTGGCTGTTGATTGGTGTCTTTAAGAAAGAGTAGTATTTCAACAGGCTGGCACAAACTGATAGGAATTCACAAAGCATAATGTCACCATTAAGTAGAGGGATTTGGCTGGACCACAGGGTATTCAAAAGTAATTTTAGAAGAGTAATTTATAAGTGTTCATTAAATGCCTGCTAAATGCCAAGCAGGGGCTTCCCTGGTGGTGCAGTGGCTAAGAATCCGCCTGCCAGTGCAGGGGACACAGGTTCAAGCCCTGGTCCAGGGAGATCCCACATGCTGCGGAGAAGCTAACCCTGTGCGCCACAACTACTGAGCCTGCTCTCTACAGCCCCTGAGCCACAACTACTGAGCCCGTGTGCCACAACGACTGAAGCCTGTGCGCCTAGAGCCCGTGCTCCGCAACAAGAGAAGCCACCGCAATGAGGAGCCCACGCAGCACAACGAAGAGTAGCTCCACTCAACACAACTAGGGAAAGCCCGCGTGCAACAACGAAGACCCAATGCAGCCAAAAATAAATACATAAATAAATTTATTTAAAAATAATAATAATAAAATAAATGCCAAGCAGTATATATTTGATATGTTTGGGATGATGCGATAGTAGAAAGGAGATAGTTCATCATTCAGGAAATCGTTTGGCTGCATGAGACACAGGGGAAGAAGGTAAGTGGTTGGATTAATTCAGGGTTTGAGCTTTACAGGTGAGGTGAAAATAAACCTCCAGCAAGGCAGTTGAGAGTGCTAAGAGGTTTTTGAATGGACTGTAGGTTCTAGGCTAGATGAGAAAGGAAGTAAAGTCAGGATGGAACCAATTGACTGGGAGAAAAGGGAACGATAAAGGAAATGAAGGGCTTGCTGGAACTGATGGTGGGAAATAACAGAGAAGAGAGTTGTAAGTTAAAAGGTCGTAGTTGAGTTTAGATTTTAGATTAAGATTTTAGGGATGGTACAGTTCTGAACTCAGTAAAGAATTAAGAGTAAAAGAAAAGAACCTTTCAGGAATAGATGCTAAACTGGAAAGAATATAAAGGTCAATAGGCAACTTGGAAGTTTTGCTAAAGGAAATAGTGGAGGAAAGGAGAAAAATGATTTTTTTTAAAAAGTCACAGATAATGATTAAGGCCTAGGCAGGTCCCAGCCTGTCTGTGGTTTGGGGTTGCTATCTGCCTTATAAAGCAAAGTAGAGGGTTTGTCTTCTGAGAAGACAAGAGTTGTCTTCTCCTCTAAAAAAGCCTCTTACATCGTTGGCTTTGGCATCTTCCACGAACAGGAGGGCAGGGATTGAGGCCTCATGAGGCTCGGTTTTCAGTTGAGGTAGAGAGAGGAGATGGTGGTTATAACCAGAAAGTCCAGGGTGGAGTGTTACCTCCAGAACTCGTCACTGTTAACTCTGCCTGGGCTTCGTGAATCATAGAAGTGGATTCCTTAATAGAATAATAGTTTCCAAAAGAAATCACTGATAATGAAAAAAGGTGAAAGGGTTTCAGAGAAAATCATAGAGACGATAAAGACGAGACGATGCAACTTTTGTGTAATAAGTAGTCTATGAAAAAGTGACAGTAGATAGAGTTGACCAAGTCTCAAAACCTATAATTTAATAAAACTTTCCTGATACAAAAGAAAACTTAAAGTTATACCTTGTAGATTTGATCCAGTATGTTTGATTAATGAGTATATTCTAGTAAAATCATTAAATTTTAAAGAAAAAATTATTCGGTGATCCAAGCGACAAGACCAAGCACTTAAAAGAGAATGGAAGTTATCAGAGTTTTCAACAATAATACTTCATTAAGGAAAACATGTGGATAACATATTTAAGGTAGTTAAAGAAAATGTGAACCAAAGCTTTATCTAGCTACATTGACCTTCAAGTGTAAAGGCCACAAACTCTTCTTAACCTTTAATAACTCAGGGAATATTGTTCCCTGAAGCTCTTCTTACAGCTCTCACAGAGAATGAGCTTCAGACAACTAAGAAATACTTATTTGTACTTGTGGCTGTTTTAATATAGGAACTGGATGTAAGCACTGAATGTATTTAACTATAGAACTAAGACTAAATAATGCAGATAAGGGAGAAAGACTTGTTGGAAATATTATTTTTTTTGACAGTATAGATCTAATAAAACTTTAAAATGGAGGGAATAAGGGGAAGAGTATACAGAAGGTAGAATAAACTTGCTAATTGCCTCTGGTTATTAAATGGTAGTAAAAGATGGGGAGGGAAGGCAGAGAAGAGATTACCATCAACTACCATTCTTTCTCATAATAGTGAACCAATAGATAGTATCTCAGAAACGGGCAACTAAGAGTATTATCTAAAGGTAGCAACATAACATAAACATACAAAAGTACAAATCTTTCCAAATACCAAAAAACAAAACAACAAACCCCACAAATGAAAGCAAAGAAAAAGATCATATGACAAAGGACTTTATATTTAAATAATCATATAATGATATGACAGAAAATACACCAAACTTGTGAGTTATATCTATAAATTCAAATGGTGTAACTGCCCTTTTAAAAGTATTTTCATATTGGCCAACAAATGAATAATCAATGCTATGCTATATATGAGGCACAGCTAAAACTAAGAGACTTAGAAAGGTAGAAATAACAGGATAGTCAACTGATCTTTGACAAAGAAGCAAAGGCAATGCAATAGAGAAAAGATAGTCTTTTCAATAAATGTTGCTGGAACAACTAGACATCCACTTGCAAAACATGAATCTAGACGCAGACGTTATACCTTTCACAAAAATTAACTCAGAATGGATCATAGGCCTATATGTAAAGTGGAAAACTATAAAACTTCTAGAAGATAACAGAGAAGAAAATTTAGATGATCTTGGATTTGGCAGTGACTTTTTAAATACAACACCAAATGCACAATCCATGAAAGAAATAATTGATAAACTGGATGTCATTAAAATTAAAAATTTCTGGTCTGCAAAAGACACTGTGAAGAGAATGAGAAGACAAGCCACAGATTGGGAGAAAATATTTGCAAAAAGAATATCTAATAAAGGATGTTATTCAAGATATATAAAGAACTCTTAAAAGTTCCCTGGTGGCACAGTGGTTAAGAATCTGCCTGCCAATGCAAGGGACACAGGTTCGAGCCCAGATCTGGGAAGATCCCACATGCCATGGAGGAGCTAAGCCCATGCACCACAGCTACTGAGCCTGTGCCCTAGAGCCCACGATCCACAACTACTGAAGCTCATACGCCCTAGAGCACGTGCTCCGCAACAAGAGAAGCCACCGCAATGAGGAGTCCACGCTCACCTGCAACTAGAGGAAGCCCGCGCACAGCAACGAAGGCCCAACACAGCCAAAAATAATAAATAAATTTATATTTAAAAAAATGGGGCTTCCCTGGTGGCGCAGTGGTTGAGAGTCCGCCTGCTGATGCAGGGGACATGGGTTCGTGCCCCGGTCCGGGAAGATCCCACATGCCACGGAGCGGCTGGGCCCGTGAGCCACGGCTGCTGAGCCTGTGCGTCCAGAGCCTGTGCTCTGCAATGGGAGAGGCCTCAATAGTGAGAGGCCCGCGTACCAGAAAAAAAAAAAAAAAGAAAAAAAAAAGAAAGTCAACAATGAAAACAGCCTGACTAAAAAATGGGCAAAAGAGCTGAACAAACACCTCATCAAAGAAGATATACAGATGACAATGATATGAAAAGATGTTCAACATCATAGTCATTAGGGAATTAATTG